AAAGGAGGAAAGGAGGGAGGAAGATGGAGAGAAAGAAAAAGAAAGAAGAAAGGAAGGAAGGAAGGAGAAAAGAAAAGAAAAAAAGAAATGAAAGAAAGATAAGACCTGTAGTTTAGTTTTACCATTTTGCACAGAAAATTATTTGAGAGCTGTTGCTTTTTTTTTCCTCCCCTCCTCCCAAAAGTAACTTAATTCTTCAGCATAAAATGGATGATTGGACATACATGGCTGACTCTAACTCAGGCTATGTTTAGTTTCTTTTAAAGTCAAATCTTGAAGATGCTATCTTCAAATGTGCATAATAAATCACAACCAACTTGAATTAGCTGAAGAGGAAAAATAATGAATTAGCTGAAGAGAATGTAGTCAGCTCTTTTATGAAAAAAAAAATCAAAATTTTAGCAGTAAAAAATAAATGAAGAGCATGTGCTTCTGAGCTGGATTGAGTGCAAATCTTTGTGCTCCACCTGGTGGCTCTGGCTTTGGGCAATTTCCCAAAACTTTCCATACTTCAATTTCTTCTCAAGATACAGATAAAAATGGTATACCCCTCTTAGGCATTTATAAGAATTGAATGAATTCATACCTGTAAATTCTTTAAAAGTGATTCAATAATCATTAGCTGTAATTGTTTTTCATTCATTCATTGTTTTCTTTTAATAAATATTTGAGTATCTTTTTCATGCCAAGTGTAAGTGTAAGACTATAGCAGTGCACAAAACTGATTAAAGATGTAACTTTTATCATTTCAAGTTATCATGAGATATGAAGGATATTTATTAGCCTTTCTTTTTGTTTAAAGATTTTATTTATTTATTCATGAGAGACACACAGAGAAAGGCAGAGACATAGGTAGAGGGAGAAGCTGGCTCCATGCTGGGAGCCTGATGTGGGACTTGATCTTGGGACTCTAGGATCACACCCTGAGCTGAAGGCAGATGCTTAACCGCTGAGCCACCAGGCATCCCACTATTAGCCTTTTCATCTTCAGTGCTTTAGTATATATAGAACTTAGCACAAAATAGCTGCTTAATAAATGTTGATGGAATGAAGTTTGAATATGTGAGTCATTGCAACACAGGACAATAGCACTTAATTTAAAACTGGGAGACGCAATATCAAGTCCCAGTTTCTACCCTAGAGCACTATATGTGACCTTGAGAAATTTACCAAAAAATTTTAATCTGAAAACTAAGAAAGCTATACTATGAAACCACTAAGATCTCTTTTGATTATGATTCTACAAAGTAACTAAAACGATGCACTCTTTGTTGACTGATTATAATTCTGTTTTTCTTAAATTTAATGAACTTTTCATTTTAGAATAATATTAGATTTACAGAAAAGGTGCAAGAATATTATAGAAGTTCCTAGATACCCTGCATCTAGTTGCCCTTACTGTTAACATCTCACATTATTATAGCACAATTGTCAAAACCAATGAACCAATAGTGATATATTACTATTAACCAAAGTCCATTTTCCATTCAGATTTCCTAAGTTTTTACTTAATGTCCCCCCCTTTATTTTTTGCTCCAGAATCCCAACCAGGCTACCATATTATATATGATCATCATATCATGTCTCCTTAGATTTGTCTATATTTGACAGTTTCTCAGACTTTCTTTGTTTTGATGACCTTCACAGTTTTGAGTACTATTGGTCAGGAATTTCATAAAATTTCCTTAAATTCAGGTTTGTTGAATGCTTTTCCCATGGTCAGACAGGGGTTGTGAGTTTGGGGGAGGAAATACAAAGGTAATTCGTCTCACATCTTATCAAAAGTATATGCTATTATCATGAACACCCACTTAAGATTCTATCTTTATGGCTGGATAAGAATTATGTATAATTGGTCATTTAATGTACCATATTAAGGAAAATCTCCTTTCTCAATGTAATTTTCTAGGCAAATATATAACAAGTTGATTCTCTTTAAATATGACATAATCATAAAATATATTTACCTTACTTTTTCATGAAAAAGTTCCTTCACCAGTGACAAATGAAAAGTAAATGAATAATCCATGTCTTGTTATAAATTAATAGTAATCCTACTTATGGACACAAGATTTACATACTAAATTTAACATGAAAAATATGACTCCTTGTATTTCCTTCAAATTAACTGCAAAATTGAGAAAATAACAGATTTGTGCTCAGCTATGAAGTCTAAAGCATTAAAGTAGAAGTGCCAGAAGTCAAGCATTTTGATACTAATTCCACTAAACCTGTCTCATGCAAAGGACTTGCCTTAAGAGAAGTTAATACTTCACTAAGCTGTAGGCATAGAGAATCTGGCGTTTCTAATCTTGTGGCATCCTTGGTCTAAATGTACGTTATCCTCTGAGGTTAGAAAAAATACTAATGTAGCTGTCACAGGGATTAGAAGATCCATGGTTTTGTTTGTTCTATACTTTTCTTATGAATTTCACTATAAATAGGGAAGTTGGTTTAAGATTAATATGATCTATGCTAGGCACAGTTTTCAGATCAAGACATAGAATAAACATTATCAATCCAGAGGAAAAGTTGTTAGAAGTAGGATATTACTAGGGATATCCTTACTTGGATTTAAATGAAATAAATAGCCAAGAATATCACACTCTGACTCCAGCAGGTAGCCACATTAAGTTTAACTATATCTATATTTATGGTTGTCACTCCTCATAATGCGGATCACAAAAACAACTAAGTAGTTTTGGCCTGAGTATTTATTATCCTACTGCTGTCTGTCACCTTTTTGAACATACCGTGTGTCAACAATCATGACCAAGAGTATTATCTGCAACGTATATGTTTAAAATCCCTGAATTTGGGTACCTGGGTGGCTCAGTCAGTTAATCCTCTGCCTTCAGCTCAGGTCATGATCCCAGGGTCCTGAGATGGAGTTTTGCATCATCTGGCTCCCTGCTCAGCAAGAAATCTGCTTCTCCCTCTCCCTCTGCATCTCTACCCTGCTCGTGTGCGCATGCTTGCTTGCTCTCCTCTCTCTCTCAAATAAATGAATAAGATCTTTAAGATTTTTTAATTAATTAATTAATTAAATCCCTGATTTTTTTAATCTATAAAACACTTTGCCCTGACTCACCATATTCTGTTTGTGTGACCTTGGGAGATTTCCTTAACTTCTGGAATTTCCTCATTTGTAGAAGTTTGTGTGAAGGTTAAATGACATTATGTATACAAAAGACTTAGCAAATTAACTGGACATTTGTTATTTATTCATAGGCACATATTCATATGCTTTCAATCATTTCTGGTTTGTTGGAAGCAATGAATAGCAACTAGGCCGTTTTAAAGTAGTCATTGCATTTCATGCTGTATCTAGGTTCTCAGAAATATTTTCTATCTATTACCTGATATTTTAACATTGGTACCTCAGCAGATAAGTAAAAACTAATCAGCACATGGACTTGTCAATGTTCAAGGCAATAAATATATTCTGGTGGCAAAACTTGGTGTTAGAATAATTTTATTGCTTTTTCTTTAGCCATGAAAACCTGATGAGCAGTATGACTTTTTTTACATGTTTGGATGAAATTCTTCAAAACACTGGAGGAGGCTTGCTTGATGATGTTAGCAGCTAAATAAGTGATTAAACATGTATGAAGTGTTGAGCAAAGGAAATAAGATCCAGATGAATTATTTTATATAGCAGCCCTCAATAAGAGTCCATTTCTCTTCTTATTGACTAGTGCTTCTGATGCCATATTTGGGAAAGAAGCCATAACCAATCTCACCTAAACTCCCACCTCTATATCTGGATCAAAGGAGGTATCCAAGTTAAAAGGCATCCTGTAACTGCAATCAACCCTTGAGAGTGTGATCTAACAAGAAGTAAGCACTTATGAAGACAACACTGCATTGCAGGCAGAACACTCTTCCTTATAACAACTGCCTAATTCATTTATTATGAACTTAGTGTGGCATTAGTGACCACAGCAACATCTGGAATGAGAAACAGTTGCAAGAGCAGCTGTAGCTAGAAAGACAGCCTGGGAATATTTTTGAATAGGAGGTTAAGAACCATCCAGCTGGGAGGCAGAGTCAGTAGTATAAAAGTAGAAAGGATAGGAGCATAGAGCTCCCTTTGCAATTTGTTATTGGATATGGCAAACATCCTAATTGTAATTCGTAATTATCATATTCGGAATGGGAGCTCTGTGTACCCAAGTGAAGTCAGGATAAAGTACTTTTGCTTTATGGGTTGACCTCTCCAGATTTAGAATCAGATTTTGAAGCCAGAAGGGTTGTAGGGTTCCAGTATATGAACACTTGGTCATCAGACTTTTAAAATGATGATGTGACATTAACATGGTGTGACCAGTCTGTGAGTTTCTTGTGGAGTGGCCATTGATGTCTGAATACTGTGTAACAAACTCTCTGAACACAGCCTGGCACAAAACATGTACTTAACAAATATGCCAGACCAGAATTTTTGTACCTGGCATTGAATATACTACTCTTTTCTAAATTGTTGATCTGAACAAACCAATATGTCATCAGGGCTCCATTTTTCCCCCTTTTTTGCACGAGCAAATACAAAAGGATCAGTACTTATATTTTAATTAAAGATAGAAGGAAAATTGATAAGTAATAAAGAAAAGTAAAAAAACAAAAGTGTTTATTTTTAAAAAGTTGTCTGTGTAGAAATATATGTATACAAAGTACAATACATTGTAAAGACTATTCTACTAAAGCCATATGTTAACAAGAGAAATCTGTGGGTATGTTTATTTGTCCCACAGAAGGAAAAAAAAGTAAGTATATTTGGGTGTATTTTTAAGAATCGTCCACATGTTTTATATCAATATAGGCAACTACAAGTGGCCATCTATGTGAATTTCTTCATGAGATGAATGACTCATAGTCAACAAACAGCAATTGCTGGCTGCTCTTATCATTATTAGCAGAATGTAATATTGGTGATACAATTCCAAATAGGGGAAGATAATACCACTGCTTTTCCCTTTTTTCCTATGCTATTTTGAATGCAGACAGTACCACAGGGACACCAGCAATATCAACGACAACTGTGGAAATTCGCAAAAGCAGTGTTATGACAACTGAGATCACCTCCAAAGTGGAAAAAAGCCCCACGACAGCCACTGGCAATAGCTCATGTCCTTCCACGGAGACTGAGGAAGAAAAAGCAAAACGGCTTCTTTACTGTTCGCTATGCAAGGTTGCTGTCAACTCCGCCTCGCAGCTGGAAGCGCACAACAGTGGTGAGATGCGGTGATTTCTCTTCTGTCTCAACAGCTCTGCAATTATCTTCCTCTAAATGGATTAGATCTTTTGCAGCAGGGGACAAAAGGGTGGTGGAAAACTGGCAATTATTACATGGAATTCATTAACAATTAAAAAACATAAATGACATGCAAAGTGTCATTTACATGGGCTCAAGAGAGGACTTCCAGGGCTCCTGTGCCTCAATGTGTATGTGTTTTTGTCTCTGGATGTGTATCTGTGTATGTGTGTGTGCATGTGTGTTATTAGATATTAGGAGATAAAGTGAAATATAATTCTAAAGTATAAGCTTTGCATTTATTTGATTTTGACACTGCTATGTACTCCCATGCATTTGCTTCTAAATGAAGTTTAAAACTTCAAACTTCTAAAGTTTGGTCAATAACAGCAGCTCTTTCTGCCCTTAGGTCCCGTCCCCATGTTTTAATAAAATGGTCTTTTTGGACCAAAGGAAAAAAAAAAGTTTGTCAATAATGCAGTTGCAAAATTTGCTTCATGACTCCATGTGCTTTTAGCTAAAACCTCTCCATTTTGGTTTTTATGGCAAATGACTTTGAGCTAAATCTTTATCACACTGACAATTAAATTTAAGTGCTTATTATGGGCAACAACTGAGGTATGTTCTCTACATGTAATATTTTATTTACTCTTTGTGACAACCTACAGATACTATTCTTGCTATTTGATTGAGGCTCAGACAAGGCATATGACCAACTAAGTGGCTGAGCCTCACTCAGCCACTAAGATTAGCCTAAGATTTAAACTTAGGTCTAACTTTTTTTTTAAGATTTTATTTATATATTCATGAAAGACACAGAGAGAGAGGCAGAGGGAGAAGCAGGCTCTGCAGGGAGCCTGATGTGGGACTCGATCTCCAGACCCAGGATCACACCCTGAGCCAAAGGCAGATGCTCAACCACTGAGCCACCCAGGCGTCCGTAGGTCTCTCTAACTTAAACACTAAATTTGAACATAATCAAAACAGAAAATACTGATAAACCAGGATGAAATGCTTCCCTAATATATTTCAATTTCATCCATCTGCTCTCTATCTATAGGAAGGCATTATATAGATATCATATATCCATACCTATACCTACCTATCTAGACAAGCATATACAAAGAGTCTGTATCTACATATCTATCAATAAAATCTAGATTATATTTGTATATCGATATAAAGATATATTGACATAGATAATTATACATAGCCTGCTTGAGATGTTAGCCGGCCCTTTGGCCCTAGATTAGATTTTCTCTAAAAGGCTGGATTCATTGCCAGGACCCTGTCAGCAATCACAACAGAAACAGAATCATTTGTAAATCATACCCTGGGTTAATATCGCAGCTTTATGTTGGCTGTCATTGGCCAGTCACTATGCTGCACAGTCATGTTCAAATATCGAACATGTAATTACAGATGGAAAGCAGTTCCTTCAGCACATATCCTCCCCCTGCATGCAACATTAGTTGTCATCTGGGAGTTCATGAGTTCAGAGGCTGAGGAATACAGAAAAAGACCTGGCCCCAAGTCAGAATCTATACCATGCAGATGTGCCTCATGTTTTACTCATGTAAATACATTATTCAAGGATGCCAGATAATTGAGAGAGCAAAATCATCATTGAAAGTCCATTTATTTCTCAAGAATTCTTGAGCATTCTGCATCATAACAGAGAAATACATTCATTTTGGTGGGGGATCAGCTCTGACAAATAAACAAACCATACCTTTTGAGGCTGGAGTTAATTTATGAAGGATGTGGATGTCCTTCCTGAATTCCTATCAGAAACATCTGATTCAGAAGCAAAGAATAATTAGTTATTTCATCATATCACATCAGGTCAACATTTTTCATATTCTAATTCTACAATCCTCATCTCTGCTTTGTGTGTTGGAAATGCCCAGGAAGCTTTAAAAGCCTATTTACCTGTGTCACTTTAAGATATAGATGTTCATATAAATATATACATATATATTTCCTATATCCAAGGATTCTAATTTATTATATATTCAGGCCTCGAAGCTATAGTGTTTGGGAAAAGAAATGAAGCAAAAACAATAGACCTCACAAGCATTGTGCAGGCAGTGCTGAGAACTGCTGTTATCTGGGAGTTATCTGGCTGTAAATGTGGTTTAGCCTTACATGAATCACTTTATAGGAATGTCCCCTCCAAACCTTCAGCCTCATCAGGGGACTATATACCCCCTCAGCTTAGATTTCTTGATCCCTTCATGTCCCTTCTTAGAGCAGAGATCATTTTCCATGGTCCAGTTATGGTGCTTGTTTTAGGCCTCATACTAGATATGTACCAGCCAGTTGAGCCATAACTGGAAGTGACAAAGGTAGAAGAGAGGATGCATGAATAGATTATCTTTAACGCCCTTTGCGCACCATTTCCAATCTCCAGATTCAGCTCTCTGATTTGTAACTGAAGTGGTGGTGGGAGGCTCGTTGTATCTGGGACATTCTCTAAATGTGGATGGTGAATGCAGTTCATTCCCATATTCAAACAACTGGTCCTTGTCCACTGGTTCCTTCATCTTTCCCTTAGGATCCCATATGGGGAAACCCAGGGAAGGGGAGGGTAAAGGAGAGAGGATCACCCTCTTGTCACAAAAAGAGTAGTCATTGTAGGATTCATCATAGGATCAGTGTGGTGTGTTTTAGTTTGGGTTCCATTAGAAGCAGACTCTGTACAAGGATTTAAGAGCAAATAATTTTTAGGGGAGGCCAAGGGCACAAGGTTAGGAAGTGGGAAGAGGGATCAGGGAAGGGAAGCAGCCAGTGCAGTGAGCCATCATGAGGCAGTTACCAAGGTAGGCAGCTGGAGCTCACCAAACCAAACTGTGACACTACATGGTTTTACAGTTTTAAACATAAACACTTCCAGTGGTCACATAGAATAACAGAAATGAATTAACTCAAATTCTGCCCCTTAATCTTTACAATCACAGTGCTGTCATCTCATTGTTCACTTATGATCTCCTGTTTGCATCAAAAATACGGACTTCCATGGGGGTTGAATGCACAAACTGCAGCCTTTGTGAGCTTGAATAATTCCAAACGGACTTGTTAAGGGAACAGGAGCATGTAGTTGAATTCCTGTGCGTCTGTGGCCCACTGTGTAACACAGAGGTCTACAAATTAATTTCCATGGAGGATATGATGTTTAGTATAGGATAAGTTAGACAATGGGCTAATTGAATATATGCTAAATCTCAACAGTAAAAACACCACTGGTTTAGAATATAGACAAATTGTTTTCTAGGAAGCAGTCCTTTATCATGGACATTATCGAGACTTGCCAGTTCATGGAGCTGGTGGAAAGCAGACTGTCTTCTTGAGTCCATGTGATTATTTTCTAATTTCCTTTAATGTACCTCCGTATTACCTGCACCCACAGCAGACCACAATCACTGCCTTAGTGCTCCACTGCCTTCACACACACACCCCCACCCACCTCTCTAGTATCACTTTAAAAGAGTTCTCTGCTTTCTTTCAGAGCTAGGTGTTAGGAAACCACTGTTAAGATTGGGCTGTTTGTCAGGGAACCAGGTTTGAAGGCCAATTTGATCAGAAACAGATTTTGAGACTATTATAGCTTCCATCAACTACTGCCTCTTGTATGTTAAAATAGAATGAGCTAGAAGTGATCAGACCATTTTTACCTCAGATCCACACATAACAATTCTGTGTGAACCTGGGCAAGTCAATTGTCCTCTTTGGACTTCTCATGCTCTCTCTTTCTCTCTCTCTCTAATGGAGATAAATGGCCATATGGCACTTTGTAAAGATGAATTACTATGGCATGATGCTTAGTATGATCATAGTTGCTGCTGGCATTATTTGGGGTTAAATTGTGTTATTTCATTTGTTTTCTCTTTCTATTTTTTCACTAAAGTTGAAGTTAATAGATTTATATTCCATAACATTGGAATGCAGTATTTAAATATGGGCATTCCTGCTTTGCATTTATTTTTAGAATTTGAAAAGAGAAGGAATTCTCCTAAGCTTACTAGAATGATTCACAAAACAGTCTAAGAATGTTTTAAACAATTTATGAGGACACACTCTTTTCAAAATATCTGGAAATCCCCTTTTAGTCGTATGTTACAGACACAACACAAAAAAAAAAGTTTCATCTTTTTCTTCAAAGAAATCCCCCCAAACATTCTACTAGGTAATGCTTTGCTTAGCTGATTTTGATGATTTTCTCTATATTATTAAAAAAAAACTTTGAAATGTTTTATAGTCAATGCTTATTACTAATTTGGGCAAATTTTTCTGGCAATAACTTGAAGTGGCAACATTTGATAATTTTCACTAAGCTCATTTGAGCTATCCCTATACAGAATTTATTCTATTCTTCACTAAGTTTTAATATACAGAAAAGGCAGTTCTCAAAAGATAGACTTTACTAACTTTTAAAGTGCTTAGAGGTTTCTAAATTTTTGCTTAAACAAAACCAACACTGTTAAGAAGGAGAAGAGGATTGACTAAAATTTATTGAGCACATGGAAGTGCCAAAAGTAATCCTTAAAACAATAAATGCATTTAATGCAACACTTCAGTAGAGCAGATAATTTCCTTTTTCACAGCTGAAAACACTGAGGCACAAAGAAATGTAAACTACACAGCTCATGGAGGCAAACTTTGATTCACACCATTCCAGAGTCTGAGCTCACGGTGCTCTTCACAAATTTGTTCATTGCTTTTTATTAATATCTAATGCTTGAGCTGTATCTACAATGTGTCAGGCACTGAGAATACAGTATAAGCAAAACCCAGGAGTTGCCTTCAGGAAGCCCATGTCTAATCTGTGCTTCTCTGCTCAGGAAGAGAACTGGGTAAAGACTTGCTTAAGACATCTGTTTCACATTTCAAGTAAAAATGCATATAAGTCAATCCCCTGGGGTCAGTGTTCATGGCCTTATTATTATTAAGGCCCAAAGATTATCTGCCACTCCTATTCAGCATCTTCTAGGATAATGGTAAGACTCCCAGTTACAAAAGATATTAACCAGAGTGGATCAAGCGTCCCTACAGAAAGTCAGAGTAAGAGTCATTCTCCTACTGACTACTTCCTAGGCATTGATAAGCCAAACTGGCCCAGGAATGCTTTTCAGTTTGATTGAAGAATCTGCTTGGAAAATAAATATTTTGATAAAATCACCTGTTTAGATAAAGAAGGTTGGATAACCATCCAGACACACACACACACACACACACACACACACACACAGTGACACAAAGTGTGTGTGTGTATGTATATGTATGTATAAATGTATATATATCTTACTCCCTAGAACATTGTTTTGCCCTACATTGACTTACACCACCTGCAGAGTACGAAGGATGTCTGTTTTACAAGGGGGATGGGCTAGCAAGCTGCAAGAAAAAAAAACCTACTGCAGGGAGGTCTCCCCACCAGCACCGCCAAGCAGTGCTATGGTTCCGTATATCAAGTCCTCCAGTCTACTGACAAGATGTTGACCTTTTTCTCTTTCCTTAATATGTTGGGATATGAACATTTTCAGAGCTGTACATAAGAATATGACCTTCATATTCTTGTAGTAAGGGAATCTACATTGTAAGAATTTCCTTTTATTTTTTTAATATTGGATTCAGTAAAGTTGCAATCATTCTGAAAGAGAGAACCGTGACTGTAAACCTGTTTTGTGTACTCAGCACCTATCTAAGGAGATGGTGATTGGCGCTGACCTAGTGTGCCCCTCAACCTGTTTTCCTCATTAATAGTCAATAGTCTTAGGAGGCCAGTCCAGGAATCTGAAGTTGAGAACCTTATTTTTTATGCTTCCAGAACTGATAACAATTTAATAAAGTCAATTAGGAAAGGGAAACCACTAAAAAAGGATTTAAACAACTAGAATGGCAAAAAGGGCATAAATGGTAACAAGAGAAAATTTCATAGCAAAACCATGTAGCTAAGTGAGAAAAATAAAGAATAGTTATCAACACCAACAAAAAGAAAGTTGTGAGCCATTTTTTGAGAGGAAACCCCCATTCATGAACTCTAATAATTAGAAAAAAATAAAAAAGTAGAAAACAATGTTAATAGCTTAAGTTACAATAGTTATGTGTAAGAATAGTCAGAAGATGTTATTGGTTTATTCAAAAAGAAGCTTTTATTTATAGTGTATTTGCTTAACCTTTCACCCCTCATCTTTTTGGTCATTGGTTTTTACATTTGAAAGGACATAACCAATCAGTGTGGGCTTTACTACCCTAATAGGGCTTTTTTTTTTTTTTTTTTTTTTTTTTCAGTAAGATCTTTATACTCTTGCTCTTCCTTTTGGGACCTAAAACACATAGCCAGGAAAGCTTGTTTGTATTCTATTTAGAAAGTGAGTATTTAATTAGTGCTACTTCTGTAAACACACCATGTTTAAACTGAAGACATTTGTTACACATCACCTCCAACTATACCTTTAGCAACTAAATCACTCTTCCTCATCTGCTATCATTTCTGTCTTATTAGCATCAAGAGGAAATAAAACTAAGTCACACCCATTTAATTTCACCTTAGGACTCTGGGGTGTAGGTGCTATATTAATGGTGCCGGTTTGTTATATGGGACGTTGTAAAAATATGAGTAATATAATGGAAGGTGGTCAGAGCACATTGTCTTCTGAGTGAAGCATATTTCAGTCATAATCCCCGGAAGAAATGCTCTACAACTAGACATCAAATTTTATTAATTGTACCATTTCCTAAAGGCATAAACCAGCTAATATTTTTTTTCTTTCTTTTTTTCTAAATATTCCTGGCAGGTACTAAGCACAAAACCATGCTAGAAGCCCGGAATGGAAGCGGGACCATCAAAGCCTTTCCTAGGGCAGGTGTGAAAGGCAAAGGACCAGTTAATAAGGGAAACACAGGTCTGCAAAACAAAACATTTCACTGTGAAATCTGTGATGTGCACGTCAACTCGGAAACACAGCTTAAACAGGTAGCACATATTCTAGAAATGAAAACAACAGATAGGGGACATCCTTATGAGCAGCATATGTGTCCTTCCTTTGTTCCCTTTCCTGTTTTCCTCTCCCATCCATCCATCTATCCACCCATCCACCCATCCATCTATCCACTTACCTTCTCTCCACTGCCCTTATTTATGCATATTTTAGTTTCCAAGGAAATACTAAAATGTAAGATTTTCTAAGTCCTTTCAGAAAACGCCTAAAGTGAATTTGTACTATTCTTATATCTGAAGAGTGGGAGGAAAAGGGGTATTAGATCTTTTCTCTACCAGGTCTCCCACTCAAAAGTGTTGATTTTTGTTAAAGGTCAAATTGCAATGTTCCATTTTTACTTATTTAGACTATTTACACATTACAACTAATTTTATACTGTTCTATTCTTTTATTTTATGTACTTTATTACATGGTGTTGTGCTGTATTTCTAAATCCTGCAGCCACCTGCTAAAGGGATGACTAATCCTGTTGCATTCACTTTTACTGTGAATAGCCTTCCAAAGAGATCAGTTATATGTTGCCAATTGAAGGCCCAGCCCTCATATTGTGTTGTATTTTATGTGCATATGTGCAATATTGTACTCATTTTATGCACCTTAGTTATTTATCTTTAGACTTTAAGGGGTTGACATTTGGCTGTACAAATGTGAGGATAAATATTAGTATGGAAATAAATTCATGCCTGGGCATCTTTGTTTATTTGCACATGAAATTCCTTTAGACATTCTTTTCCTTTGTACACTTTTAAAAAGGAGATCTGTGCAGCGATAAAGAGAAAGGCTCAGAAAAAGAAGAGCCTTCTATTTGTTAAAAATATACTAAAATGGGTAGCATAAAAATATATATCCTCAAGCCATCAGAATCCAAGGACAAAAGTGCATGCTCTTTTGTTTTTATCTTTCTGAAACTTGTATGAAATAATTAATATTCTTCCTCAGGTTAAAACAGTATTTACGAGGGAGGGTTTGGGGATGATTTTTTTTTTAAAGATGTCATTTTTAATTGCTTTTAATAGCACATTAGCAGTAGAAGGCACAAAGACAGAGCTGCTGGGAAGCCCCCGAAACCTAAATACAGTCCTTACAACAAACTACAGAAGGCAGCACATCCACTGGGGGTGAGTGTCATCGTTGATTCCCAAACCATAATGATCTTGAATGTCCCACAGTCCACTGACCTTTTTTTTTTATTATTATTATTATTTTGTCAATTACTAAATGAAATCAATGGAAAGTACCTAAGTCATGACAAACAATTGATCGGAAAGTCCAACCCCTACTCCACCAATAGAATTTTAGTTTCATGAGTTTTTTGGGTGGTTTACCACTTTTAGCCACAGTCCAGTACCTTTATCCTTTGGAGTTGGCCTCTGGTTAATGACAGAGCATGGTGAAGAGAGGAAAGCCAAACTCTTGAGTCAGGTAAGTAGTCATGAAATCTGGTCTTGATGTTAGTGGATAATTTTAGGAAAGGTCAGTGAAAAATAAGCTCTCACATGTCCTTTTTAATATCTTCATGGGACCAAGCATTGGTTTTGTTGATACCCCCAACAGTTTTGGGTTTTGAATAGCACAACCTTAAAGGCATGGCTTATTTTATTTAATTATTCAGCCAAGAATCATGTCGAAGGCCTGGTGAAATTCTTCCTGGGAGATGTGTTCTTCCCATTACCCCAAATATACCTTTTAGATTAGTGAACATACTAGTACTAATGTCCTGACCTGGATTGTTTGTTTGTTTGTTTGTTTGTTTTTTTAGGAATTTAGCAGAAACCTGTGAAACCTCCTGATAATCTCAAACTAATATTTATGATCCTGTGGTGTTTTTTATTGTTTGTTTATTTGTTTCCTGATTGTATTGACCATCACTTTCATCAGGGAGACCCAGGGCTCAATGAAAAGTTAAGAACAACTGATCTACAGTATATGCTGAGTTGTGCATTTCGAAATCTGTTTTCTTCAAAATAGATCTTATTAATAATTGGTGCTATTGTGTGCTGCTGGCACATGAAAATATAGTTAAAGGAAAACTGCAATCATCTATTATGAGACCTCAGTAGGAGTTGACCCAATTAATTTAGTAGCATCACCCATTTTTATGCAAATGAAGTCACTCTACTCTTGAACAGAAGCAATTTTAGCTGCATTGAAAGACTGTGAATTCTGCACAGAGCTGATGTTTCAGCACCACTAGTCATAATTTTGAGTGCTATTTCTGACCAGCATAGATGCAGCTTTCAATAATCAAGTGAATGGTTCTTAAATAAACAGGGAAGTCAAATTGTGTTAGTTTTACCATCCAAAGCCTCCTCAGGTCTCACTATGTTACTGTTTCCATAAATAGGAACATTCTTTCTGTGAGAACAGCCATCTTACTAATGCTACTAGCCAAGGAATGAACTGGTTTGAGTTGAGAGAATGTTGTTACCATTTGCATAAAGAGGAAGTAGACCATGTCAGATTTGGGGAGAGATAAGTTTCTTCCCTGAAGTGGAATTTGTTATTTTTATTTCTCTTCATCAATACCTCACACCTTGCTGTGCTCCCCAGTTTACACACTTGGATAGTCTAATAGTAGCTGACAGCATTAATAAATCTCTTTTAAAGTATCTATTCCATGACAGTTAACGTGTGTGTAGAGTAAAAATTCCATACTTTTTTTTTTTCTCAACATGAATACTTTCCTCAGGAGGTATATTTATGAAGAAAAATAAAATAAGGTTGCTGAGTACTTTTCTAGAGGACTTTTCAATATCCTAGGTTGGTCGTCTTCAAGGGATGTTCTAGCTCTTCCAAAGGAAAGTTGTTCTGCACTTTCCATTTTTCTTACTGACCCTTCACAAATGTGATTTTATCTTTGCGGTTGTTTCCTGCTGCATTTTGAAAGCTGCCCATCATTTTGGAATCTAAGTGTGATGCCCAAACTCCTGTCCTACTGCTCTTTTCTTTTTTCTCTCCCTTGCAGGTAAAATTAGTATTTTCAAAAGAACCTTCAAAGCCATTGGCTCCGCGAATTCTACCAAACCCACTGGCAGCTGCAGCCGCCGCTGCTGCAGTGGCCGTGAACTCCCCCTTCAGTCTCCGAACTGCTCCAGCGGCCACACTGTTCCAAACCTCCGCGCTCCCTCCAGCACTCCTGAGGCCAGCTCCTGGACCTATCCGGACCGCCCACACTCCTGTGCTGTTTGCTCCTTACTGAATTCCAAATGGGAGTACTTGTACTGCAATAATTTTTCAAAAAACAAAAAACAAAAACAAAAGAGAACTATGCAGTGTTTATTTATAGTTTAAAGTCTATCTGAAGAGCCAGGACTTTTGATAGTGAATTGAAAAGATTATTAAAAAAAAAAAAATGGAGGGAGGTTTTGGGGGTGGGAAGGGAGGGGTGGTATTTTCTCCAAATTAAAGCATTCCTCTTGAACATTGATTGTTTTAGAAGTGATCTCCAGCATTGACTTGTAGTGGTATCTAGAACTTCTGAAGCCTTTGTGACTGTGCTTTTGGGCACCTATTTCCCTCTGCATTGTCTTTCCTGCTTTATGAAACAACTATACATTGTAAGGGCATTAACTGGTTCCAATGTATATATATATAAGAATTTACTCTGTAGATTAAGATAATATGAAAAAAAAAAAAGAAAAACAAAAAACAAAACAAAAAAGAAAAAAAAAAAACAAAAAAACAAAAGCAACACTGTGAATAGTAGTACCCGTGCTGGTCCTCTTGCTATGACAGCAATCACTGGGTATTTATCCCAACAAAAGTAGATACAGTAGATGTCTTGTAAAACAATAGTGCTGTGTCTCAATCTATGCCACTAGGTTTTAAAGAATTGCAAAAGGTAGAATGAACAACTATTTCATGCCAGTAAGAGGTCAAAGAATACGCAAACACCGGAGGGTTTAGAGAAGGTCTTTCTGGTCCATGTTCTTCCCCTTCTATCCAGCTCGTATATGACTTTAAGTTGAGGACAAGAGAGCAGGGCTGAGCATAGAGGTAGGGGAAGATACCATTAAAGGTAATTTCCTACAAAGTACTGTTTCCCTACCCTGAAGCAGTATTTCTGGAAAGAGGGAAGTCTTTGTAATGAAACTATATCTGAAAATAAGTAAACCCATGCATCATGGGTGTTCAGAAAGAAATTAGTACAATTGTTCTATTTCATGGATAAGGAATGATCATAACCTAATATGAGAATGCAAAGTAAAGTTTTTCATGTTAGTACATATCCAAGAAAAAAAAACAGAGAATATTGCATCTCTGCAATATCCCTTTTATATCATACCAGTAAGATTGTCTCTTAGGCAAAGGTTTCTGCTTTGAACATGATGATAGATGTTAGCTATTGTTGTGGGCTTTTTCTTGTGTTTTAGATCTCCTACTGACATGATATAAACAATTAATATATATATTTAAATGTTAGTAAAACAAGAAAAAATGAATCCGAGGTGATTGCAGACCAAGGATATAGTGTTGAAAAAAATTCTGGTAAGATGCACTTGACCATCATTTCTCTAGTGGAGTTATGAAATACTGGCAGCCTTTGATAGTCACCATAAGGCTGAAAGGAGTTGATGTTTTACCTTTAAAACAAGATTTATCAGGGGTATATATAAATACATGTATATTGTATATATGTTAGAAAGATTAAGAGAATAACTTATAAAAAGAAAATCTATATAAAATAATTATATAACCATCCCATGTTACATGTTATCATTAAGTTGGTAACAAATGGCATAAAAAATAGCTGTGCCTTTAATTTGTGATAAAGGCTACTTGCTTTTTCCCATAGAAAGCTATCCTATACCTGTCACTATGATGGGATTCAATGCAGCCAATCTGTTGCATTAATAAGAACAAGGACACTCAAACTTAGAACAATGATAAAATATGTACAAATCAACCCTACATGATTTAAGTTTAGAGAAAAAAATATTTTTGAAAAGGTTTTGTAAAGATTATTTAAATCTATAGGGAAGGGCTTGGTATGGCCTTCCTGAAACTGCTCTTATCTAAATTGTAGTAACCTTTGAGAGGTATAAAGATTCAAGATGAAACCATTTGAGAGATAGGTATTTAGCATTTGTCATTTTATATTTAAGAAACACCCATAGCGTGCTTGGTGCTCAACATTGAACATGGTCTTTGGAGTTCTTCTCCACCATCTAGCTATAGACATTTGTCATATAAACATATCTTTAAAGCAATTGGCTTTATATATCTTTTGTTAAACAACAAATTAAGGAGGAAGAAGTGAACGAATGAAAAAACAAATCATGGAAGAGGGAAGAGGGTAAGCAGATAGAAAAAAAAAGTATTTCATTAGTCTTTGGAAAAAAGAATTTCAAACCATATATCTCTGGTTAAACATGTTGGTTAGTATTAAAATTTGTTTTTTGAGAGTATCTGGTGATTTTACACTTACCAGTACCTCTACTCTCTGGTCTTAGTGTTTCCTTTTTTTCACACACAGACTGTGCTGGTTTAACCAGATGGAAAGATGCTCATATGTGTGTTCTTTGGGGCTCTGTCTGTATCCTGTGTGACCAGCTTCTAAAGGATTTGAACTTTAGTTGCTTTTTTCTGCTTTGTCAATATGCTGATCTTTCACTATAAATTAGCCTGAATCCTTATCCAACAACCTTTACACCTGATAAAACCTCTTTCTGTTGGAGAACTTAATGTTAATTGATGCAGTCTCACTACTATGTGCTTTGCTGTTCTTCCCCATTTTCACCAAAGTGAATTAGCCAGTCCACTAGAAGTCAGGGCCTGTGGGATGCAAAGAGTCCTGGATCACAAGGTGTTACTAACTTTAATGATTTGCTGGGAACAAACAAATCAGCCATATTTTCTCCATCAGCCATATGAGAAAACTCAGAAATACCTAAATCCCTTCTGCCTCACTTCGCTATGGAACCATTTTTGTTTAAATGGTCTCTTAAATTGGAGTTGTAATCATCAGTTGTCTCTTACTCACTACCTAATAAAGGATGAAGCCTAACTCTAGAACTTACAGTGGGTTTTCTGTGAATTGCTTCCCTTCACTCCACATATTTATCAACACCAGATCAACATCTATTACAGTTTAGACTGCTGTAAAACTATATCCTTTCCCTTAGGAAACTTTTTTCATGAATAAAGATCAATAATTCAGATTGGTCACCACTGGTGCTCTGAAAATCCCCAAGGGTGGTCTGACTTTATGGTTATGTATCCTTTCCCATGCATCACACCCATGGCAAGGAAGTCATAGAGAAAGCATCTCTGATTTCATTTGAAACAAATATAAATGCATTGCAAGAGCCAAATGTCTCTGGAAAAAGCATTGCTGCACCTCATCCAGATCGTCCAGACAAATGGGAAACAGTCTTGGGGAGGTTCTGCATTTCTCTTTTGAGAAAAGATTACACATGACAAATTGCTCCTCTCACTGGTCCCAATCTTTGAAGAGTGGTGTTCTGTTCACATAAGCAAACACAATTGGCTTTTGGCATTTTATATCATCACTGCCTCATCCGTAAAGATTGCAGTCTTTAGGTACTATTAGGCTTCCCTTCATCTAGTACAATAATTCACTGCCATTATCATCAGAGCTATAATTTTGGTTTTTTTGAAGGTGCTACATATTTTACTGCCAAAGAACTATTTAACCAAGAGAGTGTTTATACTCACAAATTAAAAGAGCAGGAAATCATAAAACAATTCAAAGAAGAAAGTTTTTAAAAATAGGATTATTGAAATTTATTGTGGATGTGCCTATGTAAGTTTCTAAGGCATAGGACCAATGCATAGCAGACATGGCATTAAATTTCACTTACAATTAAATTTTAAATTAATACTCTGCCCCCATACCCATGTAATGTTCAACTTTCTTGAAATCAGATCATAAAGCTAAATGACTCAATTGGTCTAGATGTCTCCTGCCTTCAAATATGAATTAATGTAGAGAACTACCTTTCTGTACATTAGCATGGATGACTATATTAATAACTATTTGTATACAGGAAAGCAACATAAAGTGGTGGGGAAAACAATGAACTGAAGGAAAACAAAGTCTATTGTAGACTTTGTCTCAGACCGGACCAGCAGGATAATAATTAAATGGTCAACTAATGCTTTGTCCTCAATTTCTTCATCGGTAATATGGCTGAGCTGGTTTACCATTTCTGCATTAAAAGAGCACTTCTCCCATCCTGTCAAAAATAAAATTGCTTTCTTATAGTGAACCATATAGCTACTCAAATATTTGTATGTATCCAGAAATGTGTTCTATATTCCTCTCTATCCTGAATATATACCACACTGCAGGTCACTCATCTAATCAATCAGAATGTAGACTTCAACAATCATCAAAGGAGTTGCTAATTCACACCGGACTTTCAATAAAGTCATAAAGGGTGGACTGCATCTCTTTTCTCAATCTAGGATATATTTTGAACAGAATAAACTGCAATAAAAGCAATAGAAAGTTGGCAGTGTGAATGTGGAGGGAGCAATAGCTATTTAAATTCCTCATCCTTATTCTTTTTTTTTTTTGTGCCTTCTCCCTTCAGCAGAAAGGGTCTCCATCACTAATCTGGGTTTACATGTGTTTTAGCTAATGGACACCTTATTAAGACCACTTCCTCCACAGTCAAGGATATTCGTGATGCTCTTATTGTTACAGCAAAAAAAAATTATTTGAACTGTATCCTGACAGCGAATATTTTACATATTTTTATTGGTTTTCACTAAAACAGATAGATTTATTTCTAGAGCATCTCTTCTGGTCTTTCTGTGCCATGCTTTAATAATGACAGAAGCTACTACCAGAAAGTGAAATGGATCATTTATCTGGCAAGTCTTCCTTGTCTACTTATGAGTTCTGAGAGTGGTATCAGGGTTTCCAATGAAAGATGGCTATGTTGATATATCATCCTGAGGTGGACTACAAAGTTGTTACTCTCTGGAATGGTTTATAGCTTACCAGAATTATGAATGGTGATGGAAGGCCAGTTCTGCACTGTAAAAACCTCCTGTGTACTGCTCTTTTTAGTAGTCCACGCAGGTTACAAAACATCAGAGTTTGAAGAATTCCTTGGCTTGCACAGGTGTGAAAGGACTAAGAACTATTCAATATGATAATCTTTTTCCTGTTTTCAATGACAGAAAGCCATCCTTCATAGATGGTCAGGTTGATTTTACAAATAGCCAAAATGCATTTCAGGTCAAACCTGATGAATAATATGTACGATCTAAGTGGAGTATCTTAGAGTTCGGTCAAGTTTACTAAGACTATAGAGAATGGGGTCATGTTCTTTTGATGACTGAGAAGTCAACTCTTCCAATGAGTACGGCTAAA